AGAAAGAGTTCTTTGTGGGTGAGTCCAGTTGTTGTTGACAGGGTATCAGCAGTTCAGTACAGTAGCAAACACCAAATAAGAACCAGCAGCTGCAGTGCAGTCCTCTTGGCACATGCATGACACGATGCATGAACCAGCAGCTGCAGCTCAATCCTAAAGAAACTGCAAGGCTTCCTAACTGACCCAAGGACATGTGGCAAAACGTAACAGCAACCTCACAAGAAATTCTTTGGTAAGTTTCTCTCTGGCATCACCACAAGTTGAGCTCAGCAACACAATGTGAGGTGAACCAATACGTGCATGTCATTAATGAAGAACACTGAGGCAGAGCAAAGCAAACCAATGCTCCAGTTCCCACTGTCTGTGAGATCATAGTTATATTCCTTCATCAAATGTCCTTTCACATGTTTGCTATAGGAAAACATCCTCTCACCTGTGTCTGCTTCAGGAAAAATTCTTTCACTTGTCTGCTTTAGCAAGACATCCTTTCACCTGTGTGCTCCAGCACACGCAACCTGTTAACTACCTTCACAGAATGTACGAACTATGTGAAAACATTTATCCACTGCCTTGCCAAACTAGAACGTCAAGCTATTGAAGAAATGGAAACATCTTTTACCGTCTCTAGCATCAGCACCCACCTGTCCTATCTTCCTGGTTCTATGTTTTTACATGTTTTCAACCCCTTGTCAGCACCCAAGAATTTTGTCATAAGAAGTATCTCCTAACACCATTTCAATATCAACTGCCCATGTCCTTTCTTACTCCATGTTTGCCTTGAATGTCTGATCCTCCTTGCCTTGGCCTCCCGATGCTAAGATAACACGTCTGCTCTATCATACCCAACATCCCTTCACTCACCTCTGTGTTCTCAGCTGTGCTCTCCATGTATCTTCCATATGGCTGTCTTCCATATGATTCATTGCCAACCCTTCCACCCCTTCCAAATTTTTCTTGAAGCCACCCAGATGAATTTCAGCTCTAAGCACTCCACCAGAACAAGGTGACACTGAGTGCCGCCATTCTCACACATTAGTTGGTATTCCATTCGCATGGTTTTGAACTCATCATGAGCAGTTTACCTCATTGTAAATTATCATTGTAAACTGAGTGCTATCTGAACTCAATCTACTTAACTGACTTCTTTCCCTCTCTCTGACTCCAAATACTGGAAAAATTCAGAGCTCAGACCTCAGCCATTTTCCCTTCTCTGTCTCTAGATTCGTCTATGATCTCACCCAGTGTCATACTGCAAATGCCATCAATATGTCCCTGATTGTCAAATTTATTTCTTTTCCTCAAATCCAATAGTCATCCATGCTACAGTCAAGTACTTGAGCTAGAAGCTGGTTACCTTTAAGGATTTACTTAGCACCTAGAACAGTAATCGACACAGTATTCAACAGTTATCTAGTTAATAAACATTGTAAAATAAATATCCAATAAGAAAAAGGTCAAAGCTTGTCATTCACTAATTTCAAACGTTTGCTTCTTTTGATAAAGGCAATGGCAGTTGTACATACCAGACACATAGAGGTCAAGAGTTAGCTTGTATATTGTAACTTGCAGAGACTGAGGTACCATGCACAGGACCTGTACCACATGGGCTCCTAGAGCTGAAAAGGCAAAGTGAACACATGCCACTAGCCATAAACCTGAAGCAATCTGCAATTAAGAACCATCTACAAATAAGAAATTAGCTTTCTACAAGGAAGTCTCACTGGGGAAACAAACAACTCTTAAGGGTAGGCTCCATGACTAGAAATAGAAGGCCAACACAAAATGAGCTCAATGGCATTTTTGGAGGTCCTCTGTCTTACAATGTTAAGTCAGGGCTCTTTTTTTCCTTACCTTTACAGGTCCTTTGCATATATACTATGAGTTCCAGTTTGGGGTTTTATGGGATTCCTCTGTGTGCAAGTGTGTGTGTTTCTATATGTGTTTCTTGTGCTTTCTCTTTGGCTCTTATCCTTGTTTGGTTGCTTGGTCATATTCTGGTTTGTTTATTTTTTTATTTATCCAATTTCATTTTATTATTCCTTAGATGACTGTTTGTTTTCTAATGAGAGACACAAAGGTTGTGGATCCAGATGAGAGGAGAAGTGGAGAGGAACAAGGAGACGTTATGAGATGAGAAACCATAATCAGAATCTATAAAATGAAAACTGCTATTTTCAACCAAAGAAAAAATAAAAAGAGGGCTAGCTTGTTTCAAACCTGAGAATTGCAGCATCCAGGGGGAAATGATAGATTAAATTCCACAAACAAATGAACAAACAAACAAAATCTCCTGTGAATAGTGGTTTTTCATCCTTAGACCAGTACTAAAATCTATGTCCCAGAAATCTCAGGGACAGATTCCTAAGGAAGGACACGGAGTAAGAGAATTCCATGCTGCCAATTCAGGACAAAATTAGATTTAGTTGATTCAATAAAGACTAATGTTGGCACCATCTTGAAAAGGTAAAATTTTTAAAGGACAAACAGAATATAGATCCAATCTATATACATGTATAGACGAAGATTTTACAGGATTACCACCTGTTGTTTTTTTTTTTAATTGGAGATAGGGGATACAGTTTTGGAGAGATAGCTCAATGGTTAAAATCACTTGCTAAGCAAACATGAGCACCTCAATTTAGAATTCCAGCACACACATATAAAAAAAGTTAGGCATAGCCACATGGACCTTAAGTCCTCTTGCTGGTATGTGATGGATCAGGTGATCCATTGGAGCCTTATGGTCAATCAGCTGATCAAGAAACAGTGAGCTCCAGGTGTAGTAAGAGACCCTATCTTAAGAGAGCAGGGAAGAGAATGGCAGAGTAAGACACCAGATGTCCTCCTTTGATCTTACCACACCCATCCACCCTCTGTCTCTCAGTCTCTGTCTCTGTCTCTCTCTCTCTCTCTCTCTCTCTCACACACACACACACACACACACACATACATACACACACACACACACACACACACACACACAGAGTTTTACAGTATCAAACTGTATAGAACTCACAGACATTCTATGGAGTAAAAATAAACCAGATATCTCTGGCTTAAGCAGAGGTCAACAATGGATATGTAGAAACTTTCAAAAGTAGTGGAAATATGGAAATTGTAGGTTTGCTGATTTGGGTGATGATTGTGTGGGTGTATACATTTTTCAAAACTCACTAAATTACATATTTAAGGTCTTTATATTTTGATGAATGCAAAATATAACTCAATTCTTTGAAAGAAAATAAAATTGACCTACAGTGAATGTTTTGGAAGAAGGGAGAAAAGAGATAAATAGAAGCAAATTTCCTTATTACAGGATCTCCCACAGCCTTTAAAATGCTAATGCACACAGTGTATTTTTAAGAGAAGGCTATAAAGATGCAATATGTTCTAGATTTATTTACTCTCAGAACTTTTTCCTCACATATTTTAACATCTATAAAGCATTAATATTTCAGGAACCAAGTGACTATAGAATGGAAAAAAAGAAGTTCTGCAAGGGCTTCCAATGCTACTCCAGCAATTTTTTAAAGCAACTTTAAGCAACCATTTTCTGTTGGCCTGTTCAAAGTAAATGAATTATAAAATGCACCCCCCATGTGTAAGGCCCAATCATTTTAGAATTCTGCCTCAAATAATAAATTGATTTGAGCTGTTGATCTTAAATTCTTCTGACAATAATAAGGTGGCCATCGTCCATTGGTAACTGGAAGTTTATGCTAAAGAAGCATTCACTAACTTAAGCAACCATTCTGTTTCTGCTCTCTATAGGACAGATTCATCCAGGGGTGGAAAATAAATAAATAAACATTGAAACAGGAATTGGGAAAGTTAAGTCATAGGCTGAGTTCCCCAGGAAGCCAAATCAGGCAGGTTTGTGTGGGAGGGTTTACTGAAGAGAGCTTACAGAGATCAGCTCCTGTAGGGGAGCAGAAGATAGAGAAGGGTGGGGCTTGCAGGGGAAGGGGAGGGGCGGGGATTACAGAGGAGGGGAGGGACTTACAGGAAAGGGAAGAAGGGAGGGGCTTACAGGGGAGATGTTTATGACTCATGCAACAAAAATCTCAGCATATTTAGTGAGGAGCTCACCTAATGAGGCCACTGACAGCTATTCAGCCTTCAGGCAAAAAGAGAGTCATCATATCAGAACTACCTCCCAGCCCCCCCAAAAAAAGTAGTATTGTCACATGTCAAGGGGTCTCTTTGACTGAGGGTAATTTTCATAGCTGAGAGTCATCTGCTAATACTTTCCACAGTAACGAGACTCAGCACAACAGTCCAGCAGGGGGTGCTGGACAGCACATTCCAGTGTCCTCCACAGCCACCAACATACTGCAAACTCAAAAGGACACTCTAACTTAGAATCAGTAGGGTTGAATATTATTAAAGCATGCCTCATTTATACATATATTAAAATGTCACAATAAAGTCTTGTTATTATCTACAATATATTAGCAATCAGCTATCTTCCTACTCAATCTGACACACGTTCTATTATCAGTCCTCAATGATCTAAATAGGTTATGTCTATGTTGCTTTGTCCATTAAACTGCAAAACTTACAAGTAACCCTTTTTTACATTTTAGTTTTGCCCAGACTGAACTTGAACCTGCCACCCTACTTCCCAAGCCCCCTAAATAACTGAGATCACAGGCCTGTGCCACCTTCAGAAAACATTAGACATCGACTAACACTTTTATTTCCTGTGTATCGAAATGAAGAATCACGCAGCCAACCATGAACAAGACACATACACCTCTTGCCTTTGTGTGGCTTGAACTCAATGTGATTAGCATCCAAATGAAAAACTGCAGAGGATGCTGAAGTCTTTGCCTCCACTGGGGAAGGATGGTACCCAGCAAGCTCTCTGAAAGAAAATTCAATAACAGCAGTCAGACTAAAAACATGTGGACTTATAATATGCAAGGACTTATAATATTATCTATAAATTTACTTAGCTCTGAGATTAACTCTCTCTAATCCCATTCCTTTTCACCAAGATGAGGACACCAAGTGTGGAGATTAAAAAGCTTAATCAAAGTCACAGAGGTAGCAAGTGGCAAGGCAAACCTGGGATTCTCAACTTGGAAGCTTCACCCCGGAAATTCACAAGGAGAATACAGAAAGACAAACAGCGAGAGCAGTCCAGACTCCAGTCTCGAGGAACAACAAGCACAAATATGAAAAATGTCAGAAACACAAAGATTCAGGCTGTAGCCAGGTTGCCCATGGGAAAGCTATGAGAGTCTAGGTCTGAACATGGGGGCCCCAAAGAATAAACAGACTAAGAAAGGAATTGTGTATCCCTCAAAGAAGAGATAAGGAATGTAGGCAAGAAGTAGTGATGTGTTTTTCCTTCAATCAATAATTTCAATAGGAATAAAATGGCCAGTGTAAAATGTAGAGCATCCTATAAGCCAGGCATGGGCTAAATGTTTCTGCATGTCATGTTGTCCGATACCTCACTGTGACCCAGGAATAAAGCTAATACCACCCTGGAAGGTGAAAGCACTGGGCTCTAAAGGCAGCTGAGTTACGTTGTGTGTTACAAAGCTGGATTCTGAACCAAAGGACAATGATGTTCATATCTACTCTGTACACACACACATACACACACACACACATACACACACACACACACACACACAGCATGTACTGCACTCACAAGACCAGCAGCCTAGTCACAGGTAGACGATCTGGGTAATAATGTGCCTTCCCAGGAAGAGCAGAAGGGCTCCCCACTGTGGGCTGAGTAGCAGAGAGCTGAGAACTTTGCGTGGGATGGGAGGGAATGCTGGGAACCTAGAAGCATAGGCAGAGAGAAGGGATGAAGGGCCCAGTGGGCTGTATGATTATTCCATGAGCCAGGAGGACACGTGGCAATAAGCTCTCAGAGAGAGGGTTAGAATAGAAGGTCTCCTGGGTCACAGACGAAAGGATCTAGAAGGCAACTGGACATTTAGCTCACTGCCATGAGAATTGGCAACACATTGAAGGCACAAGGGTGGCTGAACTGGGAGTGTAAAAGAGGAGAGAAGAATGGGATGGGCAGAACCCCCCCCCCAAAAGCCCCTGGTGTCCAGGAAATAATTCATTTTCTTATCTGTCGTGAGTACATCTATCTTCCTATAAGGACCACATGGGAGAGGGCCCCTTTTGCATATGAGTCACCTTATCATTAAGGTCACTTCTGGAAAAAAATAAAAATAGAAC